ATTTCTTGTACAATTAGGGAAAAGTTACCCTGTTGGCAGAGCCTGCTTTTAATTTCTTCCTAGCGAGAGAACTTCCTAGCAGAAGTCGTGTAGTATTTTATTTGCGCATGCTCGGTGGTTGCTAAGAAACTGCCTTGTATGTATCTCAAGCCCAACCCTAGCTAATCCGTTTATAAACGGTTTCCGGTTCAACGGTGTATACGTACTCCTATTTGGAAATTTAGCGACTTTTCATGTCCTGTAGGTAGCGAACCAACGTGTCTTTACTATTTATGGAACTTTCTAAAACTTTCTTTACTTGCGAGTTGGTTTAAGTTGGTTTATTCTAGTTAAGAATATCTTGCGGTTCCTTAAAAGCGATTCTTCAAAAAATGTCGGCCAATTTGCTTCACAACGCGGACTAAATTCTGATCATCAAATACTTCTCCTAATACAGACTCGCGCGTCAAAACCTGTTTAAACCACAGGTAGCCCAAGCTTGGTTTCTGTGGTGTCCTGTTATAAGGAAATGTATGGGGATTCATCAAAAATTTCAATAAAATCATCTAAACGTGAAATTTTACCCGATCATTGAGAAATAGCACTTCTTTCGCTCTGCGTGGTTATTTTTTGAATTTACCCCGTTTTAACCACGCAGAGCGAAAGAAGTGCTATTTCTCAATGATCGGGTAAAATTCGAGGCTTTATTTTCACGTTTTTAAAAAAGGAGACTCTGCCAGCAGGGTAGGGGAAAATGCTACTAATTTTGGATGTCAATACTCCTGGCAGTAAGAGACGACCTAATTGCTTAGTAGAAGCAGATGTACACAGGAAAAACCGAGAAAATCGATAGGCAGTCATCGAGATACACCAGCGTATTTTATATAGAAAGACAAATTATTGTTATCCTTTTATTGAAACTTTTTGAGACTTCTAGTTGCAAACCCTTTTTGATGACCCGTTTTCATGCCTTGCCGGCAACCTTCACAAAAATGGTCTATTCTAGATGTTGAAAATATTCAGATTTTGCATGCGAGTATCCCTTTGGAAAATATGAAATTCAAATGTGATATTAACAGCTGCGTATTGTGGAGAGTACGTATTGTCTGGCCTTCATTAGTATAGGTAATAACACGGTTTCGAGTTCAATTTGTGATTAATTTGCACGAGTGTGTTTTTCGAAGAGTTGAAATTGCACGAGACCGTAGGTGGAGGTTTTCGAGAAAAAAGGGAAAACAAATTTGAGCTTCAGGGGCGATTCTCTCTATCAAATTATGGCTGTCACAGTTCTTTACTGCCTTCAGTGACCTCACTGGCATTTTAAAGGATTAATTGTGCATTCTTGGTAAGCGTATTGTCTGTCCTAATAGATCCATACTTCGATCCTCAGTGATTTCTAAAAATTCGTTTTCAACCTCTATGTCATCCATGTAGCTTATAAATGCATGATTAGTATAGGGCACACTAAAAGGCTTTATGAAAAACCGGTTGTTAGGTTCGTCTCGCTTCGATGCAAATGCTCGGCCACCTTTCAAGATGACACCAGAAACTGTAAAGGGGACTGTTTCACATACCACGACCCACGCGCGCCACTACCGACCGGAGGTCACAAGAATGGCCTCATTTGAAGTTACAATTCCTTCAGGAACAATTCTGACAGCACATAAAACAGAACATGGAAATGTCTTCCTGAAACCTTGTCTAAAGTTAGAACTAAAAATAAAACAAATGTACGGATTGATTACAAAAGTGACATTAGAAATGAAGATAAATGTTTCAGAAACTAATTTCAAGTGATCTACGGAAATCTCTTGAGAGAGCCATTGAGTAGCGAACAAATTCATGGTGTTTAGAATATGAAATGGAGTCCAACAAATGAAAAAGATGAAAACGATAGCGAAAGCCATTTTGGCGACCTTCTTATTCCTTTTTCTCCTATTTTTTTCTACTGAAGGTGTCTGTTCCCCGGGAATGGATTGGAATCTCATTTTTAAGGCTATAACACTGTACAAAACTGCGACAATTACAAATGGTACAGAGTAAAACGCCACTAAGTTGATAGTCACATAAAATATTTTGTGAGATCCCGGATGCCATGTTGGCATACAAATGTCAACTCCTTGAAGGGACAACAGTTTGTGGTTCAACAGTTGTACGAAAAAGAATCCGAGGGACAAAAACCATATCAATGGTAAAAGAATGCGAATGTCCAAAAGTCGAGGTGTTGCTCTTAATGGGAAAACAACAGCAAAAAGTCGATCAAATGCGATGGCTACCATGCTCTGTATGGACACAGATATCGAGACGTCACGAATGTAAGGGAATACCTTACACAAGAAGCTTCCAAGAATTCCAGACACTTTAAATTCCAGGGAGAGATTGTGTAAGACGGAGAAATACCATCCTGTAACGATCGCTGATGCTACCAAGTCTGTAGCTGCCATGTTGGCGATCAGATAGTTGATGGTACTTCGCATTGATGGATTTCTGGCAACAATAGCAATAATGGAAGTATTGCCTAGCAGAGACAAGACCAAAATCAAAGCGTAACACACTATGAATGTTATTCTCTGACTCTCTGGAATGGTGATGATCCACCTCTGCTGTAGTACAAACGATGAATTTATTGAGGTTTCATTGAGGCTCAAGTTTGCTGGAAGGTGCATATCCATCCCGAAAAAAAACACCAAGGTTCTCAATAATCTCTAGCGCTTGTATTATTGTTGCTCGTCAAAACTCTGACTGAAAAAGATGGTCAACAGAATTCCAATTTTGTTTCTCGGTTAAGTGCTAAATGATTTGCTAATGTTTACAAAAGCTTCCTTTTAAGGGTGATGCTTTCAACACTAACATCAATTCCAAAAACTCATTTATCAGTTAAGTAAACGTTGTCTACTCTCAAATTAAGACAATTCACACTTAGTGATACATGATTGATAGCGCATCATATTTTCGATTTATCTGAACGCTTTCCAATATCATTTTAATTAAAGGGGCACTTTGATGAAAACGCCCCATTTTTTCAAAGTCCGAATAATTGAAGTATTTGTGGATAATTTGACTCAATTATGATTATGTAAACCAGATTAGTGAAAATTTTCGCCTGGGAGCCACTTGCAGTTGAG